TAGGAGTAGGAGTAGGAGTAGTAGGAGTAGTAGTAGTAGTAGTAGTAGTAGTAGTAGTAGTAGTAGTAGTAGTAGTAGTAGTAGTAGTAGTAGTAGTAGTAGTAGTAGTAGTAGTAGTAGTAGTAGTCGTAGGAGTAGGAGTAGGAGTAGGAGTAGGAGTAGGAGTAGGAGTAGGAGTAGGAGTAGGAGTAGGAGTAGGAGGAGGAGGAGGAGGAGGAGGAGGAGGAGGAGGAGGAGGAGGAGGAGGAGCTTGTGCTAGGATTGTGCTACTTAGGACTTACGCAGATGGAGAGCACCACGCAAGCCGCCTTCGCCGTGCAATTTTAGACTTACAAGGGTTTCCCTATGGATGGATGGCGGCCCTCCCACAAACGCGTCAGTCGACCCTTGGCCGTCCGAGCTCGGGCGGGCCTATAGCCCTCCTTCGCAAGGTTCGTTCACTTGCACTGAGCGTAGGAAGCGCATCGCATGTAGAAAACAAATTCGGGGCACAACACGGGGTGGTGTCGTTGCCCCTGTGCCTTAAGGATGCGTGCTTGTCGGGCTTCGAATTCGATAGCTTCTGCGCCCGACGGCCCGCTCTGAGTCTGGCTTATGGCCCTGTGAGAATGACGGTCCCTGGGGCCCACAGACGGGGAGGGGGAAGGCATCAGAGGAGGAGCAGGATTCGACTCGGCGGCCTGACTCGGGACAGGTTCACTGATGCTGCTCGCTTCGACATCGTAAATCGTATCGACGACCTCGGACGACATAGCGCCGAGCCTGACAGCAAACTCCAGCTCTGCTACCATGGTAAGCTTCTGCGGAGGCGCCTGGCGCTGCCAGAAAGGGTGTGCGCACAAATTAGCCCCCTCCTTCACGTACTCGTCCGCGAAAGGGGACGAGCACCACTCCTCCCCCTTGGATGATTCGTCTACTGCAGCCTGGCAGTCGCAATAGATTTTGTGGGGCGGCCTCGCGCCCCTCAGCACCTGAGGGAAAGCGCACAGCTCTGACGGGCATATCCCTTGCCGATTTTGAGGCAGGGGAAGGGGTCTGAAAGCTGAAAAACCACTGCTCTCCCCTGGTGCATCTAAGGTGGCGAAGCTCCACCCCGCACGCCTAAGGGGGACAAACTCACCGTACAAGAGTGATCCATATGTAAAGACCTCTCCTGTGATGACTCCTGGCTGTTCGCCCTCAGGTTGGACCTCGACCGAGGCTGGCAGAACATCCAGGAGTTCTATAGGGTCCTCGGAGATTCCCCTGGCCCAGAGGGGTTCAAAACCTGGGAACGGGTTTGCTCCTTTTCTGCTGCGCGTGCCTGCCACCTATACGCCCGCGCATCACATGACGCAAGTCAGTACCTGCAGCATTCATCTCAACCAGTGCCAAAACGTGCACCTCGGTCCCGCATGTGACTGTAGCTGGACTCAGGGTGCTGCAAACAAGGCGAATTACAGTTATCATGAACACGCCTGCAGGCCCTCTCACTAGGCCCCACGGTCTCGGATGCCCGTGGAGTCGCATGACCCACGAGCGCCAGCTCGTCACCAAGAGGACGCGCGTGTCCATGTCCGTCGCATCCTGCCCCGCCCTGGCCCACTCCACGATGGGCCCCGCGCTGGCGCTCACGGTAGGGTCCGCGTCCTCCGCCGGCAGCAGCGGCGCGGCCGACCTTCCCTTGTAGCAGACAGAGGCGGCCGCCGCCACCGTCTGTCTGCACGTGGCGATCAGCGCGTCTATGTCGCCCTGCCCGCGTGTGCCGTAGAACTCCGACGGCGTGCTCCCGAGCTTGACCACCTTCTCCGCTGCGCCTCCTGCGGCCTTGACCCACTGGGTGTTCCAGCTACTGGCCTTGGCATCCATGATCCTCTTGGACTGGGCTCCGACACGACGTCGCCGCTCAGCTGGCTGGGTCACGCCCAAATGCACGGCTTCACGCACCACCAGAATGCCCATCTGCTTGCCGTGGCTGCCCAGCTGCCACTCGACTCTGCCATGCGAGACCGCGACAACGGTCATGCCGTCCCTGCCTCTCGATAGCTGCCACTTGAGCACCTGCTCGAATGCGAGGACGATCTCGTCGGTCAGCTTCATGTGGGGCGCCTCCACGGCGGCCGCGTCACCTCGGGTCGACGCCTCGAGGTCGTCGAAGTATGGGCACATGTCTGCCCTCGGGTTCGCGACGCAGAGGTCGCCGATGGTGCCGATGAGACCGAGGGACAAGCACAGCGGGCTGAACACGGATCCTGCCACGATCCCTCGCTCCCAGAAGTTGCCCTCGGCGTAGCACCCATGCGGCGCCGCTCTCTTTATCATAGCTCGCGCCGTCGGGGCTCTCTTGTCCCTGACCGCTGGGGGCGCAAGCTCTCGCATCTTGTAGACAGCCTTGACGCCGTGCCCGCTGTGGGCTGGCAGTCCATCGCCGTCGAAGCATTGATGTATATTCCAGTGCATCTCGAAAGCGTACATGCGATCGTGCCAGAACGCGCTCAGAGCTTCGTGATCGATGTACTCCCGACTGAGAGGGCGCGGCCTCTGCTCTGGAGGGGTGGGGCACCCTGTTGGCACAACCAATGCCAAGGGCACCTTCTGTGTGAGCTGGAGGGCCTGTGGCGCGCCTTCCTTGGTCGGTGCGCTGGGCACCACTACTGCCTTCCAGCCATAGATGAGCCTGGTCGACAGCAACTTCACTTGCTTGGGCGCCAGCGGTTGCCCCTTATCGAAGACGACTGGCGCCTCGACCTGGTAGCGCAGCTGGCGCAGCACCTTCTCGAACTTGTTGGGGGTGTTCGCATTGCACGTGACGAACACCTGTTTGTCGGACCTGGTACTTGCACACTGCTCGGCTATGTCGCTAGGATCGCGACAGGCTCGACTTCCGCTTCGCGGACTGGAACCCATCAGCCATGTCAGCAAGACTAGTATGCAACATTGGCCCGTGCTTCTGGTCTTCCTCATCCTTGGCACCGGCCTGCCTGAGGGCTGTCTCGATCTCCTGGAGCTTGCCTTGGCCTGGAGCTGGAGGGCGTCCTCGCCCTGCTCCTCGGGGCCTGCACAGGCGCGCCTCTTGTAACGTGAGCAGTCGCCGCTGAGGCTTGCCCCGTCTTCGTCCATCGCCATCGCCGTCTTCTCTGCGGCGTTTGCCTTTTTCTTTGCCACGAGCGCGAGGGCCGCTTCCACCTGGTTGGTGACCTCCGCATCCTGCTCCTCGCCGCCCGACCCCAGGGCCGTCTTGGCGAGCTCCAGGTGCACGCAGACCGAGTCCCAGCCCTTGGACATGGGGGGCCTGGCCAGCGACTTCTCCTCGCCGCGGAGGGACTCGACCTTCTTCCCTGCCTGCTCGGCCTTGTTCTGTGCAGCGTGCAGCTGAGTCTGGATGTCCTCAAGCTGCCGCTTGAGCTTCGCCACTTGGGCGTCTGCCTTTGTCTGCGCTTTCTCTGCTCCACGGAGACGGCGGCGCACTGCCACGTCCGCGTCGCATGCTGGTAGTATTGCTTCCTCATGTGCCAGCCGCCCAACGATCTGTTCATGCAGCTTCGTCGTGGCCTCCCATGCGAACCCCATGCCAGGTTCCTGCGCGTGCTGTTCCAGATCTTTGAGGCGGGCCCGGTAGATCTTCAGCTTCTTCGCAAACCCTGACATGGTCTCATTCGAGGCGTCGCCATCGGCGTCCTGGTGCGTGTCCTTCGGTCTGTCGCCCTGCCCGTCGCTCTTGGACTCCTGCCGAGGCTTCTTACACCAGTAGCATACTGTCGTCGTTCCCCAACAATCATCTGTGCGGCACGCTGCACAGGTCCACATCGCCAGACTTCGGGGGCATCAGGTTGCTCGGGGCGGCAGTGCCACTGCCAAGTTTGCCGCTCCCTGCGACACGAGAAATCTCCTGGCACCTGGAAAGACTCGAGTCGGGCAATGGCTGAGGAGGAGGAGGAGGAGGAGGAGGATGGGGCGGAGGAGGAGGAGGACCAGTGTAAACCCAAGAATCACTCACGATGTTGGAACAAACGCTCCCCCAAAGCTCTTTCTTCATAGGCACTTACAGCGGTTCATTTCCACAGAAAACCTGCCTCGTTGGAAGACAACCGTTTGAAACACTTGAAGCTGCCAAAACATCGTTCTCGGGATTCCAACGCCACGGATAAACCTGACAGTTGCGGCTTGACGATCTTGAATCGTGCCAGAACAAAGTTTCTGGGACTTCAGCACCGCGAATCATCGTTAATGTTGCACCCTCAGAATAGCGAATCCTTCCAGAACGCAATTTGTGGTACGACGCTCATGGGGATCCTTAAAACTCTTGCAAATGTTGAAAGCGAATGTGCGCGGCGCTAAGGCGAGAGCCACATTTTGCAAAGGAGCCGCCCTCAACCCGTGAAACTCTTGCAAGTATTTAAAGCAAATGTGCGCGGCGCTAAAGGCGAGAGCCACATTTCGAAAAGGAACCGCCCTCAACCCGCGAAGCTCTTGCAACTGTTTGCAACGAGTGTGCGCGGCGCTAAAATGAGAGCCACATTTTGACAACGACCCGCCCTCAATCCGTGAAGCCTTCGCAATATTTACAAAAATTGCGCGGCACTAAAGCGAGAGCCACATTTTGAAAACCACCCGCCCTCCATCTGTGACACTGTTGCCAATGTGTATGATTCAGGGTCATAAGTGGTGAGGAAGTCTCAGGCGAAACGCCTGGACCGCCCTAAAAACTTGCCTCGGGGTGCCACAGGGAGAAGTTATTCATTATTTAGAAGGAAAGGAACGGAGGCTTGTGGCCCCGTGCCCCCCGAGAGGCGCGATTAAATGGGGCATGGGGGGCTTTTTTGCAGCTTAAGAGCGGGAGCGGCTCTGCCAGCAAAAAAGAGGATGGGACCCGTTCCCAGTCCATTGACGTTTTTGTCCCGTGTTTCTGTGTTGCAGGTTGTCTTGCAAAGCTCGCTCAGGGATGGAGGAGGAGGAAGCCAGCATGACCTCGCTCCTGACTGATCCCCGAACCTCGATCTCGCTGCTCGTCGGCCGTGTCCGGCTCGAGGGCACCCGCGGGGCCCTCCTGGGCGGGCTCTCGGCCCGCCCCCCGGCGGCGGCGCCGCGCCATGGTCGCACGGGGGGCACAAAAAGAAAGCGCGCCTCGCACGCCGTTGCCCGCCCCAGACACCTGGCGCGTTGAAACCAGATCGGGGCGGGCGGTCTGTCTTCGTGTCTTAACCTACGAGGCCCGATCCGAATGTTGGGGCCCATCGTAGCACGATTTTGGATGACAATTGTGCCACTGGGGAGGGGGACGACGAGAGGTCTTCGGCCCCACGCTTAGAAACAATCGGAGTGCCAGACATGTGCCACCCCCCCGCTCTCCCGAGGGCTGGGGGCCTGGGGCGGGGGGGCTCGGAAGCTCTGTGGCGTTTTTGGGGGTCGAGGCGGGGTAGGACGGCCATGAAATATTCCCAGGAGCCCTTTTGTTGCCTCCGAACTCCTCGTGCCCTCCCTGGTCCCTCGAACCTTGGACCGTCCAAAACGAGACAGGATCAACAGTTGGACCTCAGGAATTTCCCAAGGGTCCAGGAGTCCATTGCCCCAGTCCCTCAGGAACCGGTTCTTCTATGCCGAATGGAGGGGGAGGAGGGGTAGAGGAGGGGGGAGGAAGGGAGGAGGAAGGGAGGAGGACAGGAAGGAGGAGGAGGAGGAGGAGAAGGAGGAGGAGGAGGAGAAATGAGGGATGAGGAGGACGGTGGAGGAGGAGAAGGAGGCGGAGGCAAGAGGAGGAGATGGGAGGACTCCCGTCCGATGACTCCCCCTCCCCAAAACTTAAGAGCTAGTCGTGGACGGCGCAGTAAGCAAGACGCGGCCCCTGTCAGGGAGAAGCCCCGATTTGTTCCGCGTTTCTATCGCTTCGCTTCGCGGGACGCCCAGACCTCCGACGTCGTGTTTGGTTCAATACCGACGCTTCATCCTGGATGTCGACCTCAGGGACGCCGTCTTCTCGGGCCCCAGGACCGTCGATACAGACGGCCGAGGCTGGCAAACAACAGTTGGCCCCATACGGGATTCGAGAGGTGACTTCCCGGGGGGGGATAGGTTTGGAACAATACGGCGTCGGAGGTCTCGGGGCCCCAGAGGCATGACATTTTGCTCCGAGGATGTGCCCCCAGCTTTCTCGTCGCAGACTAGTTGTTGGGGCATGGACGGTGTGTTGTTCGTCCCTCACGGTGGTAAGGTCACTGCTGCGGCGGCATTGGCTGGCGTCGCGTGCCTGGCCGCCGCCCTGGCCGCCACACCGCACGATAATGAAGCATCGGTATCAGGGAGGCTCGGCGCGGCAGTTCCGGCGAGCGCGCGCCAGACGGCGGGCGTGGACATCCATGTGAAGGCGGTTGAGGCGACGACCGGGCAAAACGGGGTGCTCCAGAAAGGGCCTCGTATTCCGCGCGTCTTCGCCCTCGGCGGAGGCCGGCGGAAGCACGCAGAAGTAATGAAAATTGTGGCGGGCCCGCCGGCGGGAGGCTGGCGAAGGGCGGCGAAAGTGTGTGTGTGTGTGTGGATGAGACGTCAGCGGTCTCGGATACAGGGCTTCCAGAGTCGGCCCAACGTGCTCCACGTTCCAGCCGCTGTCTGTGAGTAACCGCGGTCCCTAACCCCCTTCGGGGACCCCTCGGCCCATCGGCTCCGCTACCCCTCCCAAATGATCGACGATGCGACGCGGTTGTCTCAAAAGGGGGGCCACAGAGCACTTGCCCCCCAGGCACGGCGGGTCGAGGAGTGCCGGGAAGCACGGCTCCAGGTCCAAAGGGAACGTGCCAGGGGAGCACCGTTTCTGACGTCCGTTCTTTGCCCGAGTTGCGGGCAGCTCCCCGCGAGAAGAGTGTCCGAGATGCCAGGTCTGACCATGGTGCGTGTGCCCATTCCCTTTCCGCTTACGTAGCCGCTGCCCTGCCCCTCCCCGCGATCCCATCCCCCCTCCAGCCCTCCACCGCCGCCCCCATCTTCTCCTCCCTTCCCCATCCTCCCTCCTCCCTCCTCCAGCTCGTCTTCTCCAGGAGGAAGGGGTGGGGGAGGAGGAGGAGGAGGAGGAGGAGGAGGAGGAGGAGGAGGAGGAGGAGGAGGAGGAGGAGGAGGAGGGGGAGGAGATGGGGGATGGGGGAGGAGATGGAGAAGGAGACGAAAGGAGGCAGAGGGGGGTGCGTTGTTCCGGGGCCGCTGGCCCACGAGCGCACAACAACCCGCCTGTGGCGGGGCAGTCCAGTCAGGAGCGATGCACCCCACGAGGCGGACGGCGAGGACAAGAACGACGACGAGAGCGCGGCGGGCAACAGCGTGGAACCAGGCCACCCTCCAGGGCACGAAGATGACCGCGCTTCGCGCGCTGCGGCCTGGGCCAGAGAGCTGCCTATCTGAAGGGCGGCCTCGCAGGAACGCGAGGAGAGCCGCGCACTGCGGGGCGCGATGCGTGAAGTCGGGTGACCTAGGTGGCGGGTTGAAGGAACAGGGCGCTCTTCGAGTTCTCAGGGTCCGTCCTGGGGACTGCTTGCGAGAGCTTCTGCGAAGCCCACAGAGCCTCAGGATCCTGGCCTCACTCTGCGGGCCCTTTCTTCTACAGCGAAGATCGCATGGTATGGGCGTAGTGTTCCAGCAAGGCGGCCCCTGCATCCTTGCCTCCTCAGCTCATGCTTGGCACTTTCGGTTCAGATCCCGACGCCGATGCCACTGGCCTAACATGTGCGCCGAAGGGTCTTGCACCCGTACTTGCCAAAAATGCAGCACTCCGGTTTGTCCGATGCGTGCCTCCCCAGACCTCTGGACCCCTTCCACAGGGCCGGTTGTTTCATCCCGGATCGTTTTTTGATTGTCCTGATGCCCGAAAGTTGGCTTCCAGAGGCCAAACATGAACACACACCGGCCACCACGATTTCCCCGATGCGCCAGATGTGTAAGACCGCATCTCCACTGCGCGTGCTTACTGCACCCCTGCTGCTTGAGGCTGGCGGCGGTCACCGCCAGAACTCGTCGGTGCTCGGCTTGCTGGAGAAGCATTTGGGGCACTCGAGGCGTGCCGCCGCCGCAGCTTTCGTGCAGACGCGCAGAGCCTCGAGGCTGCGAGCGGGCGCAAGGGGGCGCTTGCACTCCGCGGACGTGGCGTCTGCGCACGCTCTCCTGAACGGAGTGCGCGGGCGAGAAGCATATCCATATCCACGGCCTCGTGGTGCGAACCTCGCGGCCGCGACCCCGCGGAAGCAGGTCGGCTTTGCACGGATGCCCCGCGCGGAAAATGTCCATGGCGTCGCGTATCCGTGGGATCGCGCCTCGGTGTCCAGACCGCGACGGCACGGAGAAGGGTATGTATGTTTGTCGTTCGCGAGGAATGGTGGAGCAATTCGTGATGAAGCTGGACATCGGCGAACATAGATGTATCACACCGCGGTTGCGGATAAGGCCGAGGGGGTGGCGGGGACGTCGGCAGTTTGCGAGGCTCAGAAGAAGCCCGCCGCAGGCGCTTTTTCACAGATTATACAACGAGCTCGCCGCAGGCGCGTTGTTTTCGTTAAATTTAATGTGGGTGGGTCGCGGGGTGGGTCGCGGGCCAGGTCGCGGGTGGATCGGGTGGGTCTGGGTGGGTCGTGGGTGGGTCGCGGGCGGGTCGCGGCTTGGGTCGCGGGGTGGGTCGCGGGTGGGTCTCTGGTGGGTCTCGGGGGGGACAACGACAACAAACAACAAGCAACACACAACAAGCAATCACAACACCCACAACCAACCAATCAATCAACCAACCAACCAACCAATCAACCAACCAACAACCAACAACCAACAGCCACCACCACCACCAGCACCACCAGCAGCAACAACACCACCAACAACAACACCACCACCACCAACAACAACATCACCAATAAGGTTAAGCCTGCTCGTTCTTATCTGTTCGCGGGCCATTCAACACGTACATTTAAAATCCTCGATACTTGTCCTCTTCGTCTTAGATCGTACCCCCTTGGGAGTACATACGTAGCGCCCCGCAGATGCGGATAAGAGTGACGGGGCGTCGGAGACGTCGGCAGTATGCGAGACTCTGTAGAAGCCCGCCGCAGGCGCCGAAGTTTCACACATTATGCAACGAGCCCGCCGCGGGCGGCGATTTTTTCGTTAAACCAAGATGGGTAGGTAGGTCGCGGGTGGGTCGCAAATGGGTCGCGGGTGGGTCGCCGGTGGGTCGTTGTTGGGTCGCGGGTGGGTCGCGAGTGGGTCGCGGGTGGGTCGCGGGGTGGGTCGCGGATGGGTCGCAAGTGGGTCGCGGGTGGGTCGCGGAAGGGTCGCGGAAGGGTCGCAGGGTTGGTCGCGGGTGGGTCGCGGGTGGGTCGCGGTGTGGGTCGCGGGTGGGTCGCGGTGTGTGTCGCAGGTGGGTCGCGGGTTGAGTCGCGGGTGGGTCGCGAGGTGGGTCGCGGGGTGGACCGCGGGGTGGGCCGCGGGTTGAGTCGCGGGTGGGTCGCGAGGTGGGTCGCGGGGTGGACGACGACAACAAACAACAACAACAACAACAACAACAACAACAACAACAACAACAACAATCACTTTACCCGAACGCTCAGTGTTCTCACCAGTGCCAGGGTTTTCATGCGACGCCAGCCAATACCCCCACTTTGTGGGGGGGCAGTGCAAGCTCTACCAAATATCCACACGACTCTTCGCCACCACCCACACCCAGCTTCCCGCCCTATGACGTTCGGACACTTCACTTCGTGGCCTGCGGACGACCGTGGCTACTACACTGGCGTGGAGTACACACCCACAGAAGTTGTTAAGCCTACGTTCGTACACCCACAGAAGTTGTTAAGCCTTGTTAACCCACAGAAGTTGTTAAGCCTTCCACAGAACATCTGTTGCATATGATGCATATGGTACATGATACACATGATACACATGATACGTACTCACAAGATAGTTGATCACATCTTTAGGGCAAATTCCTGAGGGATGTGGGAATACACAAGAGAGAGAGGATATGGTTGTCCCGATGGTTGTCTCGATGGTTGTCCCGATGGTTGTCCTGATGGTTGTGGTTGTCCCGATCGTTGTCCCGATGATTGTCCCGATGGTTGTCCTGATGGTTGTGCTTGTCCCGATGGTTGTCCTGATGTTTTTCGAGGACCTACGGTGCGATTCGTGTGATTTTATGATGCGCGGTGCTAAAATTCTTAAGAAGCCCAATGTTTTTTGGAGATTTCGGCGTGCGCGCGCGAAGAAAAAACGAATGTGTCCCGCATGGTATTATTTGACAGGGATGATGGCCCTGGCAGGTGCGCAACCGTTGTCGCAGAAGTTCGAAAAAGTTGCTCGCAAAAGCCCGTTTGACAGAAATGTTTAAAAAGTGTTGGGTTTCCTACGAATCCGCAAGAGCGCGCGGGATGAGATTTTGACAATTTTTTGTTGAAAAACCATTGGTTTTTTGATGTTTTTATGTTAAAATCGCTGCGAACACTAAGCTTTTGGAAGGATTTCGTCTTGCGCGCGCGAATGTCCACTTTACCTTATTTTTTTGCAAGGGATTCTTGAAATTTGATTATATTAGAACAAGAAATGTCATTTTATAGTGTTTTTTGCAAGGGAAAACGGATTACAACAAAACAACCGGATTTTGATGACATCGTATTACCTGAGGCTTCTTCACGAAAGTGATGAAAATGTAGCTGCGGCCTAGGCGGCGCAGGGGGGCCGTGCACCAGGGGTCCCAACAATAATTATTCTTTAGAATTAATAATGTTCAACAACAACAACAACAACAACAAGAACAATAACAACAACAACAACAACAAAGACAACAACAACAACAACGACAACAACAACAACAACAACAACAACAACAACAACAACAACAACAACGACAACACCAAGGACAACAACAACAACAACAACACTCACGACGCAACAAGCATACTCCTCACCACGGATCCCGGTTTGAGCCACGCACTCAGGGGCAATACATGACCGTTCGGCCCCCTCACTATGATCTTTCTTACCTGCAACGTGTATTTCGTGCAGCCCCCACAGCAGGGGAAGAGAGGACCGATGGACGGAAGGGGCAAGGGGAAGGAGGAGGATGGAGCACGACAGAGAATAGCAGGAGGGGAGCTAGGAGCAGAAATCACGTGGCATAACCAGACGTGCAGATCGGGCCCAGGCGGCCAGGTCGAGCAGGCGGGGTGCTGAAGCGTGCGTCCTGGATGAATCGCGAAGGATTTTCGAGCGATAGCGCGATTCCAAAATAAATCGTTGGGAAATCCATTGGGGGAGCATGATTCCTAAATGTTGAGGGCGTGGCGTCTGAATACATGGCGATGAAGTCCCACGCGAGTGCGCGATTCTTGTATGATGTGGGAAGAAGTCCCGCGCGAGAGCGCGATTGGAGAATTCATTGTGTGGAAGTGTCGGGCGGGAGCCGGTTTTTAATCTAGTTCGGGGCCCAGCAACGCAGTCTGGTGTCTTTCATTGAATACATAGAATAGTTACCGGGCAGAGGGGAATCAATAATAGTTGTTCTTTAGAAATGAGACTTCAAACCGCACAGCAGAACCTCACTTCAGCCATGCGCCCAGGGACAGTGAATGACCGTTCGGCCCCCTCAGCTTGATCTGCACAGACATAAACTTCAGCACGTCCGCGCGGATTTCTTGGATGGGCGCCAGGCCCCCCTCTCTTGCGCGCGGAGAGCGCCAGGGGCGGCGTTGGAGGCGCCGCCTGGAGGGGGATCCAGTTCCGATCCAAGAAATCCGGGCGGACGTCCAGGAGTTCATGCTTGTGCACGTTTCTCTTCTTCTAGGACATGGAGCGGATTGCCTGCGCCGAGCTCCAGGAAAAGCAGGCGACCATGCTGGAGCTCGCGAGGCGCGACCTCGGTGAATACAACACCCAGGGTGCACTGGCCCGTGCTCGGGTACTCGCTGCCCAGATTGCCATTTCGTCTGCCGAGGACAAGTTGCCGAAGCTCACTGATACCCTGGCCTTGCATGCATCCAAGTGCCAGGACGATACGAAAGCCCTCCACGAGCAGATCAACCTCATCCGCCAGGATGCATCGACGTTGAGCTCGGTGGTGGACATGTCGTCCTGCACCACCTCCACGACGGCATCCCTTCTTGCATGTCGGCACCCGACGGGAGAAGTGTCGCGCGCTTAAGCACTCTGCCCCAATGATGGGGCGATCGTAGAGGATTTAGTTATCTTCCATCGTAGCCGCGGACAGTCAGGTATGTTCGTGTAGAAGATCAGGCAATGTATGTCGCGCATTCGACTTGCTCATCGTCGTGTAGTTCCTGGTTCGGTTGCACGGGAGTTCCAGCGTCACTAATCTTGCGAGCTCACAGTGGCGAGCTACTCCAGCTGAGTGCCTGTATTTGAATTTCCATCACCGCGAGAAGCTTGCACCAGATGCAGTGCTGTCAAGAATGACCAGTTGAACGGATGATACGCTCTATTGCCAATTGGTTTCGGTGGGGCAGAAAAGTTGACGAAAGCGGTGAGCCAGGGAGGGTAAGATTTGGTGGGGATGGTCGAAGCCGGATGGAGCGAGGGGGAGGGTCGAAGGCGGAGTGAGATGGGTGGGCGGTTGGACAGAGGCAAAGAGAGATGTATTCAAGGGCCAGCGCTCTTGGACTCTGAAAGCCCTTGCGTGCTGAGGGCTCCTCCACTGCGGGCGACAGTGGCACCGCCTGCGCGCTGCCAGTAGCGCTACAAGTCCGGGATCGCGAGGGCGTTCCGCCCAGGAGTCGCGCAGATGCACTTGCGGCGTCGTGTTTCTCGCCTGGTACCATAAAGTTGGGAACACATGACGCGACGTCTGGGCGAGGAGCCAGATACACATTCGACCAGATGCTTGTACAGCGCACAGCTCGTCCATGGCCGTGTCGGTCGTGGTTGCGCATGCATATCCAGCGCGTTGCTTCCGGATGTTCCACATGTGAATCCAGCCATGTGTGTTTCCAGTTCTTTGGTAGTTCGCCAAAGTCGTTTCTTCAAGTGTCGCCCTTCTCTCCTTTCCGTGCGTTAGGGCTTCAATCCAGGCTTCTCTCCGTCTCCTTGCGTCGGCTTCTCTTTCCGCCCATTCGCGGCCCGACCCATTCGGCATGCCCACTCACTTGTTCTTACATGCATCATGTTCTTACCAGGGTGCCGACTCCTACACAACTGACGCTGGCAGGCAAACGATTCCATTTGCCTTCGCTCTTGCAGCAACGAAGCCTGGCAGTCCGAACTTGCCATAAACGCTATGAAAATTAGGGGCTTTGTGATCGTTGATTGAATGCTCGCTTCACGGGTATCCATGCGCCAACACAAATTTTGCATGATGTTGTTGCATGTTTCAGATGCCTGTAAGTTGTGCCTTTCGTCATCAGGATCACCTCAGGATCAGGTTCACCCCCACGCGATCGTCAGCCCGATACGGATTGCAAGCTTGACTCCCAATCGATGCGATCTCGAATGGTCTGCTCAGGTCCCTCATCACTTTTAGCCGCCGTGTGATCCGGCGCAAGCTGTCGCAGTTACGTACGGACACCGCCAAGCGCGCCCTGCACACGGCGCTGAAGGAGTCGCTGCGGGCACAAAGGAAAGCCCGCCCGCAGAGCTTGGCCCATGGCTCGGGCTGGCGCCAACACCAACACCACCGCCACCACCACAGCCACGGTCGCGGCGGACACTCTGGCGGCAACCAGACGTTGCAGCTCTCGGCCCAGGCGACGTCTTGGGCGAGTTCCAATAATGCCACGAACCAGACGGAGCATCCCAACGCGAGTGAGGTGCTCTGGGATTGGCGGCGCAATCAGGGGAAGTGCACGCTGCGGGAGCAGGCAGACTGCGGCACCCTACAGGACAAGCTCTTGCTGATGCAGATGGGTATCAGCGAGAAGGTCGCCAGCATGAAGGAGGACATCAGCATTTCGGGTAGCATGTGCGACGTGGCCCAGCGAAATTATCGGGCGCAGATCGACGATCTCCAGAGGCGCCTCGAGGACCAGCAGGCTAGCCTTGCCGAGGCCACCAAGGTGGTTGTTGAAGCTCAGGACCGGCCGACTGCTGTTGAAGTCTGGGGGGGTCGTATATATTGCGTGCGTGCTTGTGCCCCTCCCCCACTCAGCGCTTGCACCAAAAGTGTCCTCGAAGAAGTTGTCAAGATTTGATGGAAGTTGACCACCGATTCCGGTGGGCGGTCGAAATCCCGAGTTCCCAGTGTTTCTTCTTCCTAGGTTTTGGTGGAAATTCCCTGCCTATTCCAGTGGGTTGCGGGGTTCCCGAGTTCCCAAGATCAGAGAGAGTAGAGATAGCCGGGATATAGAGAGAGGAGAAATAATGAAACATTGAGATAGTGTGTGGACTATATATGCACATCGGCGCTTCGCACCACGCACCTTGGTCCTTCATTCTCGTCATGCGGGCGAAAGGAGAGTACATTAATAACACAACACAGCGATATCTCATTGTTGCCTTTTCGTCGCCATCGTTCTAATATGTGCTTCCCCTTCCTTCCTTCACGTTGTGAAGGCCTTACGGCCGGTGGCACCGACCCTGTATGCGATGAGGAGAGAGAGAGGGATGAGGTGGAGGATGTTGTGGAGCTGTCCTGTGGGGCTCTTGGGCCGTCTTTGGGCGATCTCGGGGGCCTACTCGATCGTCTTGGACGATCTTGCCAAACATGCAGGCTTATCCAAGGGATGGGGGATGCTTTTCGGATCTCGGTGTTATCGCGGGTTCCTGTGCTAGCCCTCGTGGTGTGTTCCGCGGGCCTCACCATCCGTTTTGAGGTCATCGTGGGTGCTTAAGGCCTCTCCTGCCTGTTGCCGCTATTCTGGAGCCATTTTGGAAGGCATCTTGAGCATGTTCGGGTCGGCACAGGGGGGATTTGGAGGCTCCGAGGGTCCAGGAGGTGAGATCGCGAGCTCTGTGGTGGAGATTTCAGGCCTTCGGGGACATTACCGCCTGGGACCTTCCGCTGGCCTCCCTGCGAACCCAAATGGAAGTGGGGCTCAGGGCCGAGCACAAACAATATCCCCTGGCCCTCCAGGACGACCCTGAGGGCCTTTGCCTCCCTCTCTCCTCCTCGAGGGGAGCCGTGGCCCCATGGCGGGAGGCGACGCGCTCCCCGCAGCATTGGAAAGTCAGGGGACGTGCGTCTGGCGAGGTCGAGTCCTCGCGAGACCTCCCCCCCCAAAGAGGGCCAGATGGTATCGAGCCGAGCGTTCCACCGTCCACCCCATCCCCCACTTCCACTTCCACCTCCACCCCTCCCCCCCTGACTGCAACGTGCGATGAACAAGATTCGCTGCTGGCGCCGAACGCGCCTCGAGCAGCTCTCTGGATGCTTTTGTATTATTTGTAGTCGCTCCAGTTGCAAACAACATCCCCGATCTGTTATACGATATCTGTCTCCAGCCATGCCGAAAGTGTGTCGTACATGTCCCTATCTTCGCGAGGCACCTCCAGATTTGGAAGAAAACGCTTGCCGCCCCCATTTCGTTGCCTGGGGCCAACACATTAAAGACTCCGTCCATTATCTCTGCGCTCAGGTCTGACGCATCACCCATCCCGCCTTAAGTGGTCGGTAAATCTAGCAAGGATGAGATGTCTTCTTCTACGTGCGTTAACTTCCCTTTCAGCAGCGATAGCTGTACGGCAATGCTAACGTCGCTGTGTCCAACCGTGGCTGGTCTGTGCCAATAGTTTGAATACATCGATGTCTGCGGATTCCCCATAATCGTCTATATGTTTGTGCAAGCTCCACGATGTGGGCGTGCAACTCTGAAGGCGACATCGCTTCTGACGTGTGTCAGGTGACTTCAACCCATCGCTGACGCCGTCCTCTGCGATCTTGTCGTGGTGAACACAGAGATCTCCATCGTCAGAGCAGATTGGTTCTCCCTCTCTAGTAACATATTCCAGCTCCAATTCTGTATTTGCACATTTCTCCAGCTCTTCCATTTTCAAATGGTGGTGTGGCTCATGGCCAGCCTTGGCGATTTGATCAAATTCGATCTTCACCCCTGGCAGCGGAGCAATCGAGAAGCTGCGTAATTTTCCAATTTCACACATGCCAACTTTCTGGCCGCAGTCCTTCGTGTACGCTCCTGCCGCCGCATGCTCGATGGCCTCCTGCCGCAGTCTCCCCTCGACTCGGCCTGGCAATCCAAGGTCGCACTCCTCTTCGAAATACGACACAATAGGAGACATGATCGATGGGGGAAACGGCTAGTACATATCGCGGAGGATGTGTTCGGTTCCAGATTTGCTTCCAGGCCCTCTCCCTCCTTGGCCGCGAGAAGTTGTTTGCATGTTGGTTTTGAGTGTGTGCAAGTGGGTACACTCGGCAGAATTCCTAAGCCCCTCGCGCCGGCTAGGTGGAGGAGCAAGAGGAAGTGGAGGAGGGAGTGCATCCTGACCCGGGACCCACCTCAACAACCCCCCCCCCAGGGACACCCGCCCTTGGCAGGGAAGGGATGAAAGGGACGGGGGTTCCCTCCGATTCACCGATTCAAGATTCAAGAGCGACACTTCTACGACATTGCTCACAAACCGATGCGAGGGGAAGTGTGAACCCGGACGGGAAGTGAGTGTATTCTGACCCGGGACTCCTCTCAACACCCCCCTCTCTTGGGACCCCCCCCCCAGGACACCCCCCTGGGCGGGGAAGGGATAAAGAAGAGATGTGTTTTTCCCGCCGATTCAAGTAAGACATTTCTCGCAAGCGGGCACGAGGAAGGCATCAGAATCCCAGACGGGGAGGGAGTGCATTTTGACCCAGGACCCTCAACATTCCGTCCCGGGACGCCCCCCGTGACGGGGAAAGGATGAAAGGGAAGGAGTTTTCCCCCTTCGACTGAAATACGACATTTTTCGCTTTCCTGTTGGTTGGCGCCGTCAGCGGAAGAAGCGTTGTCATCTCCGGACCCCCCCCTCCGCACGGCGAGGGCGAAGTCCGCTACACACGCGGAATCGGGGAAACGATGCGTCATGTCGAAGACGACGACGATTCAAACTAGAAACGTCTCACACACGCCGACAGGTTCGGCGGATGTCCTTTTTTTTTCTTCCTAGTTTCGCCTTGCCCGTCGAAGCCTTCCCCGTTGTCCTCAATGTTTGTTTTGATGGGGCTCCTCCTTGGGAAGCCTCTTGGGGGCCGCACGGAACGTTTTTAGGTTATTCTTGTTGGCTTCTGGAGACATCATGGGCGCCTTGGGCGCATTTTGGAGCCCTCTAGGAGTTCCTCAGGCAATTCTATTTGGAGTGTTTCGGGCGGCTTGGGGCCATCTTGAGCCGTCATGGGATTTTCTTCGGGCCATCTCGGAGGTATGTTGGGCCGTCTTGGGGGCTGTCTTGGATTGTCTCCAGGCTCTTGTTGGATTGGTTCCAACATTCCCCGTGAGGTTCTTGTTAACACCCCGGGCAGGACCCCTTCACCCGCACTCCGTAGCCACATCCTCATGCGCGCTCTCTCTTACTCGCTCATGTATCACGGACGCACTCGCTGACTCACTCACTCGCCGTCACACAAGGATCATCACCATCATCAGCATCACCACCACCATCATCATACACGGACTGACGCATACATCATCATCATCATCATCATCATCATAATCATCATCATCATCCTCATCATCATCATCATCGTCAGCATCATCATCCTAATCATCGCCAGCAGAATCATCATCATCACCATCACACCCGATCATTCACTCATCATCAGCATCACTCACTCAGTCACATTGACTCACCCCATCAGCGAGGAAGTTTCAGGCGGGAGCCTCGTCCCTATGGGCCCCGCAGCTCATGTTACTAGTCCGAGTGGACCATCCTCTAACCTATCACAGTCGTCACTTTGGGGTTTCCCAGCGTTGAATATGGAGGAAGTTTCGAGCGACTGCCTCGTCGGTGTACGGATCGGGAGGAAGTCTTGAGCGGGAGCCCCCTCCATATGGGGCAAGCAGATCCTTTTATGAATCCCAGCGGGTCATCCTCAATAGTAAAATTGCCAGCATTCTTGGGCTCGTCAGGCCTGAGTATGGAGGAAGTCCCGAGCGGGGGCGTCGTCTGTGAGTGACTCGCGAGGAAGTCTCGAGCGGGAGCCTCTCCTTATAGGGTGCCCGTATCCACGTTCGAATCCCAGCGTGTTATCCTCAAATGTATAATTGTAGTCACGTTTTGGCTCCTCTGGCTTGATGGAGGAAGTCTCGAGCGGGGGCGTCGATTGTGAATGACTCACGAGGAAGTCTTGAGAGTGAGCCCCCTCCCTGGAGCAATCATTTTATCAGCGGGTCAGCCTCAAACATATAATTCCCGGCGCTTTCGGGATCCTCAGGCTTGACTTTAGATTTTACACAAATCATCTACTCAGAGCCAGCCTGGTGGAGGGGGTTGAAAATCCTTGAGGGGGCAGGCAGTATGCCAGCCAGGCCAAGGAATAGAGCCGCACAGGACGCGCGCGCACATCAAGAACAGGAGACGACGATCGCATAATATGTCCCACTACGTGGCGCTGAGGGGTGGTCCTACCCCAGTGCACGTCGACCAAGTGAGGGGTGCTTGATCGCACTCGACACTCGTCACCTGAACTGCAGCACCCGAGGCCCGCGAACAGTTCGGCCAAGGGAGCACCACAACATTCTCGACCCCTCCCCAAGGGGAGAGTGCGGTGGGGCGCCGACTTGAGCCGAATTGTTCACGCTTCGCGTATCCCCACCATACAGGGGACGACAGCGTGAAAGGCCTGGATGACGCCATCAGGAAGGCCAGGGCCAGGCTGGAGAGCTCCTTCGCAGATCGCATCACGGCTCCGCTCGACGCTCAGTCCTGTTGGGAGAAGCTTGGTGCCGCCCTCTCAGACAGCCTTCAAAAGCTGGTTGATGATCCTACCATGGCTATCCTGCTGTACACCGTCTCCGGACTGCACCCCCGCCAGCGGCAAATGGGAGCCACACCCAGGCAACCAGGCAGCTTAGACAGGAAGGCCTGGAGCCACCTGGGCTATTGCTTAGACGTTGGGGTGGGGATCGTCGCCAGCAACCTCGTC